ACATGGAAATAAACTGCATTGGTAGCAAGACAAAGGCTTTAATGATTTAGTGCTGAAAGGGTGTGATACGCTGGCATGCACATTGATTCCCTCTGCTGTAAATTTACTGTTAGCTGTTTTCTTCCCAAACAGCCCCTCCGCACCCTTGTTTCTCTGCACCCATGTTTCTCTGCTTACCAACCTTATAGTCTCTTGGAAACAGTTTTTAAAATATTCAAGGTGTGTTTTGGGGGGCAGTACAGGGTGACCACAGGACTTTGAAACATTCTTCAAGTAGGCAGTTTGACAGACTGTGCAGTTTTTACTAAGATGTGTGCAGAAGGGAATTTAACTTTGCTGTTCTTTGGATTAGCTACGAATTGTATATATCCCCCCTCGTGCATTTCAACAATCCAAAGTAATTAAAATATGACATCTTCCTTGCAAGGAATTCAGCCTAATTAAGGTGGCTGCTCCTCCTGAAGTTCATAAACCACTGGCTAAAGCTGCTGCCTTCAGTGTTTTCCTTGCTAATGAAAGGCAATATTTCTTAGCATTGACCCTGCTGCCACCTTTCCGAATCACTTTGTTGCTCTAAGAAGTTGCTGTTTTGCTAGAGAACTACTGGCAATGAACACCCCTTGGGTTGAGCCATCCATTATTTCCATTATCTTGCAATTCAGCCGGGAACCTGGACTTCAGTTGGGAAAAGCAAATGTAAGTGTGGATGGCCAGTTTTTTTTTTTTTTTTTAAACATATCGACTATTTGGTTATCTGATGCTGACACGGTGCCGAAGCACGCATCTGGTCAACAGTAGCTTGGCTGCAGGCTTGAGAAATGACCAGAAGTCCCAGCACATTCCATCTTGGAGGGTTGTAGTGGGAGCCTGCAGGATGCTTTGCGCCCTGACAGTGATTTAGATAAATAGCTCAGCTATCTATCAAAATGTTTTTAGTACTTTATTTGACAATTCATTGGAGCATTAGCCTGAAAATGACATTTTAAATCTTCGTTTTCAAAGAGGTCAAAGTTTACCTGGAAGAAATTGAGTTTTCCTAATAACAGGGTGGCTTATCTAAAGAGAGAGGGGAAAAAGGAGAGAAAGGAAACAATGACAAGATTTAAATTGCCCTGTCTGAAACTTTTTCTTGGGAGTAAGGACTTGTGTCTTGGGCCAGGAAATCAACAGGTTTGTAACTGAAAAATCAATAACCATTTGATGCCAACAGTTTGGCCGTCTGAGTTAACATTTCATGGAGCCAAAACCAGGGCAAAAAGAACACGGCTTTCAGAAGGTGGCTTAATCTTGAGCTGCTTCTCATATGCCTTGTCTTTTCCTGCTGTCTATTTTCTTTCCCCGGAACTCAAAGAAACTGAGTGTTACAAGATAATTTTCCAACCGGCTAACCAATCTTTTAGATCTGTCTTTTCTGAAGCAGTTAGAACAGTATGAACAATTTCATTTGCAGTTCTAGTGAACTGGGGTTGTCAAACTTTTTTATACAAGAGATAATTCTAATGGAACATATTTTTCATGCAAGGAAAAAAAATGCTCAGGACCCTTGTGGAAAGATATTAGACTTAATAGAGCTTTTATACCTAAACATTTTCCCTTCTGTAATTAACCCTCCAAACGTGCCTATTAAGTTGTAGAGCTAGGGAAAAACCTTTGTTTGTTCTTGAACAAGTTAAACAAGGGATTTGCCTTATCTGGGGAGAAAGAGTGGTGAATGTGTCATTTGCCTAGGGCTAGCCGATAAGCAAGAAGTGTTGATAACAGCAAAGTTCAGCTAATCAAAGAAACTTGCATTAGAAAAAGTAAATAAAGGCATTTGACAAAGGGATTTCAGAAATTCCAGTGTCTTATTTTTGTAAGCAGAGCAATTAATGCTTATTGTGGTCAGTTTCATAAGGGTTTGACTCCCACATCCCAACTTTAGGTTAAATGAATAAAATGTAAATATTGCTGTGTTCCTGCAGAGATGTTTTATCCTCCATAAACCACTTTATGAGTGGTCAGTTTCCTTGCTTGAGTGATTAAAATTTTAAATGTAAACAGAAAATAAAAACCTCTAACATATGTCTGCCAAGCAGTGTTTGGTTCAGAGTGGCATAGCTAGTTAGAGTTTTTGAAATAAAAAGCACATTAGCACTGTGTTTGTATGAGAAGTAAGAACATAAAAACCACAACCTTTTTTATTTCATTTAATGGATGTTTTGATGAGAAGCAGATCTGTTTGTGCTCTTAACACAGAGGAAACAGTGGGTAAAAAGGAGAAAAAAAAATAGTACTAAATTCTAACGCAAACTGTTTTCTGCTTTGAGATCCTACTCACTACTTTTTTTATGAGTATGTGTGTGTATATGTATGTGGGGGGGTGTGTGTGAAGTAATTAGAGTAAAACCTTTGAACAAAGAACATATCAGAAGCATATTTTGAAAGGTGTTAGATACTGCTATTATTTTCTCCTTAATTTTAAAGACAGAAAATGGATATGCCAACCAGCTGCTGGTTGGAGTACGGCCTGTGAATTGCTTGTTATGAAAATTCAAAGTCAGAATTGGGGGTCTACTAGGGGAATGTGGTGTAAATAATTCTAATTTAGGCTGCCCCTGGAAGGTGTCTGAGTCCCCATGTTTCTTTTCAGATCCTTCTTGGATTATCCGGGTTTTAGGCTGCCCCAGATGTTTTCAGCATTAGTTGCTCACGGAGCATAGGATAAATCTTAATATTTTGTGGATCTAAATGTAGTTGCTTTTGGTAAAATCATGACTGACAACTTCTTGGCCCTTTCCCCCATCTTCTTCCCACACAACACATCAGAATAGAAATGAAAAAAAAATTTATTTCGAAATTGTGTTTTGCCTATTAGTGAGGAAAAATAGTTGAATTTAAAAACAAACAGTAGCGATGCATGATAAAAGGATGGAAAGAAGCCTCCTTTTCAAAATATTGGCCCCCAAATTTTAAGTATTAAACAGTATCTAAATTCTCTCCCAGTGAGATATAAATTGGGGTCAAAGTGGCAAAATCAAAGATACTCTCTGAAAGAAAGACTAAATAAAGACTGACAGCCACCGTATGAATTGAATGGGGTTTTGAATAAATATTTCGGTGAAAAGGCTCAATTGTTTTTCTAAAGTAGAACACAATTTTCTGCTTCTCAGCCACATGACGGTGGTAACTGATACATCGGAAAGAAGAGAAGAAAAGGGACTTTCGCTCAATTCTCAAACAGGGTGCAGGGCTGAGTCGCTTGAAATAAGCAGAAAATTAGCAAAGTTTTCCTTCCCTGTAGAAAAACAGAAATACTAAAATATTTTTGAAAGCCAGATAAATTGCTATGTCTGGCAAGTGAAGTATTCAGGGGCAGATTACCCAATAAGCAAGGGTGAAAAACATGTGAAACTGTTCACTACAGATTAGTAAATAAGCACAAGTAACCCATGCTTACCTTGCTTGTTGGGTAATCTGACACTAAGTGTTGCTGTGCAATTTAGAAGCAGAAAACAGGATGAGTTTTAATTTTTTCTCTAGAAAAGGATGGATTCTCCCCTCCCCCCTCCCCCCAAAAAAGTAGGAGAGGTAGATATCGTCCACTTAAACATAAGCCATAGAATTGGTTTAGAAGCTGTGGTTATTATTTGATTTCCCAGCCTGACTGTAAAGCCATTGCATTGAATTAGGCCTTTTTTTTCCTTTATAGAGAAATGACCTGAATGGCAATTTCTGATAGGCTAACTGACCTGACTCAGAAGTTTTGGCCTCCTTTCTGGAAGACTGGCCCTGGCTGCATATAACCAGTCAGTATTGTTACAAACTTTAAAGCAAGAATAAGTGAAGATTCTTCTGATTATCAGATGTTTATAATTGACCTCTAGCATATATTAAGCCTCTCCAAGATGACTGAAAAGACAGATGGAATTCCTTACTGTTTTCTTCCTTATACATTCCACAAGTATCATTCAACTTTATCCCAGAAGGCAAATACATGATGAATGATAAAGATTATAAACTCAGCTCTCAAAGAATTTATAATCTTATATATATATAATTCCTAGCATATATATATAAATGCTAGGAATTAGTTTGCTCTCTGCGAGAAGATGGAGATGCAAACCCAAGAAAAAACTTTTCAAGTCGCATAGGGCTTTACTAAAAAATAAATGTGGTGTTCTTTTTTAAATATCTTAAAGAGAATCTTCTATAGAGTTTGAGTTACACATCAGTGCTAATAAATTTATCCTGAAATGACATTTTTATACTTGAAATGTTCTAGTATAAATTCAGTTAACTATCAATTAAATATATTATTTCGGAAATGGGAATTTTTGATGAAGGTTAATCAGAAAACTGTTGGCTAAAAACCTTTCCAAAAGATATTAGCATAGAGTCTTGCCTTTCAAATTACAGAGTCGTTATGGCAATCATACATCTCTGATTTTCTAGAATAACCCACTTTTCAGATATACTGCCACAGTTCCCACATAAATCATTGAAATATGCCAGATATTTCAGTATTACGACATCTCCCTGGTTGCCCCTTGAACCCAGGAGTGGCACAGAAAGTCTTTGTTTGGATTCTATGGTCAATATAATGAGAGTGCTCACAGCTTAATTTTTCCATTATGATTGAAGATTGCTTTGTGCTTTTGGGTTATTCTTCTGAACATGAATCCCTTTTGTGGCAAACTGTAGGTCTGTAAATAGAAGGCATCGCCTGCAAAATGGATTATTGTTCTATAGTCATGGTATTACTACAGTGGTTCTGCTTCAGCAGTGTGTGTGTGCGTGTGTGTGTGTGTGTGTTTTGTGGAGAGTGTAGAATTAAATCAGATTGTTACAAATAAATCTGTATCAGCCCTTTCCTAACTTCTTAA